TGGATTGAATTGTCTTCTCAAAATGTGTCAACTTTGCTATCATCATTCTTAATATTTGTATAATTATCCTCCACTGTGTGAACTGATGTAATTATTCTGTGTTCTAAATCTCAACCTCTATGATGCTAATGATCAGGATTAGAAGAAGTTGTGTTAATGATGCAGGATATAATCTATAGGATTAAATTGTATTTTGAGTCAGTCACTTTTTTTCTTGATTAAACTGCTTTACATAATATATATATACATATACACACACACATTATCACTATTGTGTTAGACTGGGTTGACTAGAGAAACAAATCCAAGGACACTCATACATGTGTAAGAAAGCTTTACCATTAGTAGGCCACTGGAGATCCCCTTGCAGAGGGGTCTTAGGGAGGAGACGAGCCAGTCAGGGTGCGATGTAACAACGATGAAAAATACAACTTTCCTCTAGTTCCTAAATGCTTCCTCCCCGCCCCCACTATCATGATACAAATTCTACCTTGCAAGTCTGGCTAGACCAGAGGATGTACACTGGTACAGATAGGAACTGGAAATACAGGGAATCCAGGGTGGATGATCCCTTCAGGGCCAGTGGTGTGAGTGGTGATACTGGGAGGGTAGAGGGAGAATGGGGTGGAAAGAGGGAACTGATTACAAGGAACTATATGTGACCTCCTCCCTGGGGGACGGACAACAGAAAAGTGGGTGAAGGAAGACATTGGACAGGGAAATATATGACAAAATAATAATTTATAAATTATCAAGGGCTCATGAGGGAGGGGGAAACGGGGAGGATGCGGAAAAATGAGGACCTAATGCCAGGGGCTTAAGTGGAGAGGAAATGTTTTGAGAATGATGAGGGCAATGAATGTACAAATGCGCTTTACACAATTGATGTGTGTATGGATTGTGATAAGAGTTGTATGAGCCCCTAATAAAATTATTTTTTTAAAAAGAAAGAGTTTCATACCAAGAAGTAATTGTATATCGGAAATACCTCCCAGCCCAGTCCAATTCAAGTCCGTAAGTCCAATACTAGTCCGTAAGTCTAATTGTAGTCCATAAATCCCTCTTCACACTCACAAAACTCCATACAATGATGATGCAGGCAGATCACAGGCTGGTGGGTGCAAAGTATGGATCCAATAGCAGTGGATGCATTTCCAGGGCTGGCAGGTATCAGCATGGCTTGCTGGCATGGAGGGGAAGATAGAGAGGAGGTTCCTAGGACCCTCCTCATGAGGAGGTCATGTCCACAAGGAGGAAGCATCAGACTGTGACCTGATTGACAGGCTAGGCTCTACTCCTTCACTCACATCTTCAAGTTGACATGAAATTATATAACTACCACAATTATATCAATATATAATTATTTCAATATATAATAAGCATGTTCCCAAGTAATAGTTAAAATTCCCCTGTTGACAGAAACTTACACAGATTGGGTCAAAAACACAACATTCAGTTAGAGCCTAGTAATAGAAGACCCATCAGAAACAAATAATATGATAAAAGTGTACAATAAAGGTATCTCACACACATGAAATTTAGGAAGCACAGGCCTCCCTATTAACTTCAGGGTACACATAATGAATCATGGCATAAGGCAAAATTCATCGTGGTGATCCTGGTGAGGTGAGGAGGGGGTGTCAGTGTTTACTGCACATGGACTATGACTAAATTGCTTTCCCTCCTGTTTTTCCATCAGCTCTCTCACCTCTTCCCCAATCCTGTCTACATTCTCTTTTCTCATTCAAACCTGTGGCTTTTCAAGCCTCTGAATCATGTTCCATCTATATTGAAAGATGGGCTGTCTAACTTGGGATTGTGCCTTCTACCTCATTTAGACACACAGTATTCATCAGCATTCAAAGGACTCTCTTTCATTAGTATCTTGTTCTTTTTCATTCTTCTCCTGGTGGGCCTTTTCCACATTGAGAATTTTCCCCCCTGCATGGTCCTTTTTGGACTCCATTACTCCTGGGCCTATCCTGGCAATCTTCTCCTCTCAGTCCTTGATTACCAGGTGTGCCTTCAGGACCCTCAAACCCGTTCTGCCTGTGCTTCACAGTCCTGGGCAGTCAAGACCCCTCAAGACTGAAACAGGAACATTGGAAGTGTGAAGACTGGTCTGACTCCATGGGGAAGTTGGAGAGTAGTTAACCCACTCACTTTTACGATATGAGAGAGATGAAAGAAGTGGCAGAGATAGCAGACCTAACCACCACTGAGAAAGGAGATCTAGAAGTGGAGCATGTCTTTTGGAACTAGGGTCTCTGCAATGTGAACCTTCAAGATGAAGGGGAAGTAGAGGCCAAGACAGATCTCCAAAGGAGGCTTTCAGATGCTGAAAGGGACAAAGACTAACAGAAGTGCCAATTTTCCCTTAGAGCTGGTACCTTGATTTCAGACTTCTAGTGTCCTGAGCCATGAGAGAATAAATTTCTATGTGTTAAAACCATTCACTTGTGGTATTTTTATTATAACAGCACTAGATAGCTGATTCATTGATTTTGTGCTCTTGGTGTCTGTAAAAGTAAATTAGGTCAAGTAGATTAGTCTAGTTGTTCATCCTTATTGTGCTAAAAGGTATTGATAGAGATGTACTTGCATTTCCCAGGACTACTGTAGATGTCTTATGCTTTTTGTTCTATTAACAATCATATAAAAATATTATGATATGCAGGACTATTTAAAATATTTGTGTTGTTGTAAGCTTTGAAGGTTGAATGACCACTATAGCCCCTAAAATTTTCATTAAGAGTCTTTATTAGCCAACACCAGTGGTTGTGGGAGGGCCAAACATCTCTTTTACTTCTCCAGTTTCTAATATTCTCTACTTGATCTCTCTGGGTTCATTCTAATATTCATTCTGATGACTACTCATAGACAAAATTAATGTTTAAAGGGTTTATTAGGGAACTTAACAAGTTGTAATGCCAGTGAGAAATGCTCAAGGTAGTTGTTTACCAGGATATGTTACAAAGTTCAGGTCTGCTAATAAAAAGTCTAAAGGGATATACTGACTAGCCATGGTAACTCCATCTTGTTAACTGACAGGTGACCTGCCCACTTCCTCCTCCCTTCTTGGAAGGCCTCCATTGGTGGTTGGTCCCAGAATGTACCCACAAATCAGGATGTTGTGATTAATCTCACTATTCTTGCTATTATATAATCAATCTCGCTATTAGGTTTTTTACCCTGTAATGCTTGTTTGCTTTGTAGAAAAAGAACATTTATCTTGCTATTCTTGCTTCTGTCACATGCTCACTTGTTTTGTAGGAAAGTCTCTAACAAATGAACCAAATTGTTTTTGTGTTTTTTGCATTTATAAACTTTGCTAGTAATTTCACTCAGGGCTGCAGCAAGGGAGAATTTATCATTTCCTTGCAGCTCAACTAGCTGAATAAAGACTCTTCTAAATTCTAAGACATTATAGTGGCTATTATTTATTTGAACCCACAACAATGCCACTCTGCTATAAGCTTTAACCCAAAAGAATTCAGTTCAGCTCTGTGGAACAATAAATACAATAAACCCAGATCACTGAATTAAGTGCACAGAGGCACCCCGCTCTAGTAAGCTTCAGCCTGAGGGCCCTCAGCTCCACTTTTGTGGATCAGCAAGCACAATCTCCTAAACCAGGCTTCTGCCCCAGAGCACACATATTAATTGGCTCCATAGATTAGGAAGGCCAACATTCTGTTCCATGCTCTGGCTCCTGGTTCTGCTGCTGCTTCCTCTGATTGTATAGCTATCATCTGGACCAGGAGGTTCACTGCAGGAACTTGGGTCTAGAGAATGTGCTCCACTCCTGGCTCTTGCTGGTAATGAGTTCCTGCTCCAGGGAGTCTTGTTTGTAATTACAGGAGAATCCTACCACTATCTTACCCGACACATGCAGGGAAATGTCATTTGGTGAGTGTCAGAAACTTTGGCTAGAACAACCATATTAAATAATTCACTGCCCCTACACTTGATATAAAGGAAGAGAAAAAGAAGGAGACCAGAGACAAGATGGATTGACACATTTATTGCAATGATGGCTCAAACATAACAATTGTGAGGGTGGTGCAGCACTAGCAGTGTTGTGTTTTGTTTTGTTGTACATAGGGTTGCCACGAGTTGGAACTGATTGGATGGCACCTAACAACAACAGAGCCCTCAAGGAAAATGAAGGATAGTATCTTAAGTCAGACCTTCTAGTAGAGTCTAAAGATACCCCCAACGAAACAAGGAGTATGGCTTGTTTCACATCCTCTATGAAGAGTTATACTTAACCCTACCTTAATCCTGTCCATTATTATAGCAGACAACACTCTCCAAAATGGGATTAGAGCCACAAGCACAGAGTCCAGAATTGTAATACAACGCACAAGGAATTATGGGTAGTAGGACCATATTAATCGACGACATCTTGACCAAACAGACATCAGTCTCCACAACCCTGAAAGCGGACTAACTAGATGGTGCAGAGCCACCACGGCAACTGCTCTGGAAAAGTTCCCATTAGAAGATCCTGGATAGAGTGAGAGGAAAATGGGGAACAGAACTCAACATCACAAGAGAGACCTGGAATATAGGTTGGAATATAATCACTCTTAAGGTCTGGAACTGAATCCGTCACGTTAAAATTATCAACCATTTAAGATCTAAAGGCAGCATTTAAGAGAGAATGTTAGAAAAGGATGACTGACAGGAAAAGGAAACACTAGGGAGAATTGGGATAAACAATGGTATATCGACAAAATTAAAATGGATGAATTAAGACAACAGCTATGTAAATTGGTGAATATAAAACTTAGGATTGTCTCTGAAAACCTTCACCAAAATCATAATACAATTCTTTTAAAAATATATCAGATTGTAGAAAGGAGAAGTAGCGATCCAGAGGGTAGATCAGTGCTGACTTTGGCGAAGGGGAGGATAGTATAGTGCAAGAAGGAGCTAGGAAAAGGATCCGGAAGTGGATAGAACGAGCCTTTGGGAGGTTTGAGAGGCTGTTTACAATGGTGAATGTAAAAACAACGATCTCATATATAAACCCCCACCAGATTAACAATTTAATAAACAGTAACCTTTGTTAAATAAAAAAGGGAAAAAAAACTATCAATGGGAATGCAACATGAAGAAGAGTGGGGATTATTCTAGGAATGCATGAGAATTTTATAAATTATAAGTCAGGCATCAATATTCATAGTGATCAATAAATATTTGCTAAATGAACCACGAGTAACTGATGACTGAGCGTTTTAAAGTGCTGAATATTAGTTGAATACAATGTTTGTAGAATAATTGATGAGATTCTGCTGCTTCCTGTGATTCTGATTTCCCCCCCCCCCCAAATAGTCCAGCAAGGTGAAGACCCTTCTTAGGGAAGTACAAGCGAACCTGTCAGTTAGGGGATGTCCAATGGATATCTCTTTTCTCCTTGACGGCAGGAATCCTCCCTCCGCCCCCCTGCAGAGCTAGGGCCATGGGAATTGAACTTTGTCCTGAAGCCAATTCATTAATTTTGGCTTAGTCCTTGGTGTGGAGCCTCAGTCTATTCCCCAGGCTCATTATGAGTTGAGTGGGTGTCCTGAGACTTCTATTCCCTGAGAAGAATTGTAAACCTAGAACATGAGCTCAGCATACATTTTGTGAGAAATAAGAGGACATTTTGGATGGTTTGTTTTCTACAGTTTTACTTGGGCCATGGAGTCATCCAGACAAAGTGTGTAAGGAGCCTTCCCCAGCTTAGCACTTGCTCAAGCATCACCCTGCAGAGTGGCTTTTTGCATACTTCTTGGCTCTACCCGTCTTTGCTGAGCTATATTTGGCTGCCCCAGAAGGTGAATATGGGGAGATGAGTGGGGACGGGAAATTCAGAAAGGGGTGAGGGGGGGCCTGATGGATGAGGGATTGAAGTTTAACCAGGAGTGGGGAAGTCAATCTGATTTCAGGCTTCAGCCTGGAGGTTGCTATCATGGATCATCCATTCTTCAGTCACACTAGGAAGTTCCAAAGTAGTCAAGCAGATTTGTTGACTCCTCACCACTGTGCATATTTCACATGGTGGTCTGGGTTGTTTCGTTCCATGCCTGGGTCTGTGCAGATCCTGGAATTTACCTTCCTTTGTTGTGCATGCCTCTAAGTCTCTGTGTCAGACTGCCCCCATCTGCTTCTATGATCTTTCTTCCTACAGGCAACATGAGAATATAATTTTCCAGGCAGAGTTTATCTGCATTTCCCTATCAGAGTCATGTCAAACGTTTTATAAAATCTATAGAAGTACATAAGAGGCCCCTTCCCAGTGAACCAGAACCCCAGTAGGTGGAACCAAGGAATCGGCATTCCTAACATCTCCATATGTGTCAGAGACATAACCATCCTTGAAAATTCCAGTCTTGACTATCAGGCCCAGGATGTATATTACTCTACTGTATTTTGTTTTGGTTCGTTGATATCTTCCTGTTACAAACAGTCAATATTCTTTGTTTCTCTTTGACAGTCTTTCCAGTTTATACCAGGGGACATACTTAAATTCTGGACATGATGCAATAGAAGCCAGAGCCACACTATCCATCAAGGCACCCCCCAAATCCCATTATTTATAGAGTGAGTATTCACCCATCCTTCTTTTGTAAGTTTGGTGAATGTATCTTGAATGTCGGGTAGGGAGTTAGGTACTGGACAGATACATGATTGATGTGCTCTCTGTCTCCATTTCTTATACTTTTGTAACCCGTGGTCCACACTCCAAAGTAGGATGGATGGTGTAGATGTATCCAGAGAGGCATTTCTGAGTTTGCATGGATATTTGGATCTGCTGCAGGGCCTGCCTGTTGCCCCTTTCCTTCCTTCCCCAAGACTTCATTTCTCACTGTATACAAAGAATCTAACCTTTCCCCAAATAAGTCCTGGCCTTTGCTCTCAGCTTTCTGTGACTTTTAAGCCCTTGGCACATCATGTCTGACAAGAATATGTTTCTTTGCCTGGGAGCCTTGGGTCACTGGATAGTCTAGCAATGTGCTTTAGGGTAGGAGTTTTGAGTCACATAGTATCAGTTCAACTGGAGGTTGGACCTGGCCAACTGAGGTCAATTCCATGAGCAGGCAACCATGGAGTCCCAATAAAGACTGAATACCACGGCTTGGGGTAATTTCTCTAGTTGGTAATACTCCATGGGTTGCCTTATACAGTAATATTGAGAAAGTATATTATGCTAACTCCATGCAAAGAAAACACCCGGAAATACTGCATTTGGTATTTTCTTGGATTCTGCCCTAGGTACTTCATCCATTGCCTAATTTTATTCTTATCCTTTAGATTTGGTAAGCTGTTTGCTATCATTAGTTGCCAGTGGCGTTTGATTCATGGTGGCCAGCTATTCACTGAGTAGAACTGCTCTCTAAGGTATTCAAAGCTTTGACCTTTCAGAAAGTAGATGGCGAGGACTTTCTTCTGGTGCCCCTGTGTGGGTTCAAACCACAACCTTTTGACTAGTAGTCACGACCTTAGCTAATTGCACCACTCGGGCCCTGCAATAAACTGGAACCATGGTGGGCATAAATATGGCTTCCAGTGAGTCATTCTAGCAATGATCAAAGCTAAGGGTCATTCTCCCAAAAATAAAAATGAAATTCACTGTCATTGAGTTCATTCTGACTTATAGTTATCCTCCAGGACAGAGTAGAACCACCCCTGTGGGTTTCTGAGGCTTAATCTCTTTGGGAATAGAAAGCCTCATGTTTCTCCCATGAGGCAGCTGGCGGTTTTCAAACTGCTGATCTTGTGTTTAGCATCCCAATTTGCAATACACTACGCCACCAAGGATCCCAAGGAATGTTGTGGGAGGCCCCAAACTTACAGTTGGTGCCAGATCTGAAGGTCATCTTGTGTGGACTATTCCCTCTAACTGTAGTTGGCTAAACTCCAATGTAATTTCTCTTAAATGCATGTCCCATTCTTAGTTCTAGATTTATCCACATACCACGTAAAACTCCTTCTCATTTTCATGTATTCTCTGGTCACCCCTGCTTCCATGCCTTCCCTGATTTCTAGTCTTTCAAGAGAAATAAGGCTCAAATCCTCCTTGGTAGCCACGGAGGGCAGCTGAGAGAAAATGAATCTTTAAAGCAGGAGGAGAGAATGAAACCTGTGTCAAAGACCGGGGTTCTCTTATTTAGAATAAATGGTAAATAGTTATTGTCCATGTATGAGGAGATGTAGAGTCAAGGCCCCAGATCTCATCATGTGCTCAACCTTCCTACAAAAGCAGTCCAGGGTGATGGTATTTTTGTTGCTGTTTATCAGGGTCACAGCCATGGAGCTCTGGAATCACAGCACCGTAACGAACTTCATCCTTTCGGGCCTGTTCAGCTACACTCCATATGAATTCCTCCTCTTTTCCCTGATCCTTCTGGCCTCCATAGCCGCACTGGTTGGCAACATCCTCTTCCTTCTCCTCATCCAGGTCGACGTGCGCCTGCACATCCCTATGTACTTTTTCTTGGGTCAACTCTCTGTCATGGACTTGACTATGATATGCACTGTGGTGCCCAAGATGGCCGCCAACTTTCTTTCGGGCACTAAGACTATCTCTCCGGGAGCCTGTGGAGCTCAGATTTTCCTAGTGGTCATGGTAGGAGGAGCTGAGTGCTTCCTTCTGGCAGTTATGGCCTATGACCGGTATGTGGCAGTTTGCCACCCCCTGCGGTACCCTGTGCTCATGAATTGGAAGGTCTGCTCTGACATGGTGATAGCTTCCTGGATCGGTGGAATGACAGACAGTGTGATTGACGTGGCCATGGTCTTCAGCTTTCCCTACTGCAGCTCTCGAGAAGTGAACCACTTCTTCTGTGAGGTCCCTGCCTTGCTGCGTCTCTCTTGTGCAGACACCTCGCTCTTTGAAGACCTGATCTATGCTTGCTGTGTGGTCATGCTGCTGCTACCCCTTGGGGTCATTGTGACTTCTTATGCCCGGGTTCTCACAGCTGTGATGCGGATGTCCTCCACTGAAGGGAAGCAGAAGGCTCTAACCACTTGCTCCTCCCACCTGGCGGTAGTGGGCCTCTACTATGGGGGAGCCATATTTAGTTATATGCAGCGGGCCTCCTCTAGGACACCGGCTGGAGACAGAGCCACCTCCATCTTCTATACCATCCTCGCTCCAATGCTCAACCCACTCATTTACAGCCTGAGGAACAAGGAAGTATCAAGGGCCCTGAAGAAGATGATGGGGACATGGGTCATGTAGGCACATGGGACCTTCTGAGGTTTCTTCTGCTCTATCTTGGTCTGCCTCCTTCTCTGTAAGTTCAGGCTCCCCAGTGACCCACGTTTCTCCTCTCTGTCCTCATTGGGCCTCTCTGACTAGTTGAGAAAAGACTGGAAACTAAGTGATCTGAAAACACCTGGGATTCTCAGAAGGAGGTTGCCAGAGTAGTTGATTAAGTTGGTACGTAACCAGCATCACAATGAATGTCTCCCCTTTGAGCACCACGATTTCCATGGAATCAAGGCTCACTATAGATTAGGTAAACAATTATGAAATCCCATCAGATATAGTTATATTTCCTCGAGAGCTGGTAGCTACAGCCATTCTTCTAACTTGCATGTCAAAAGTGAATGAGGCATGATAAACAACACAGAACTTGACTTGGCTCCTTTGAACACTGAGATGTAGTCAATTACTGAATATGACCGTTCTAGACATAATCCCTTTTATGATACATTGTAAATTCATTGGTTTCCATGCCTGAGGTTATAATCCCTTGTTGAATTCAGTCATAGTCACCCGATGTACAACAGAATAAACCTGCACTTGACATGCTCAGCATTGTGCTTGAACTCTTTGTGAGTTCTTTACATAAAATGTACATAAAATCCCCAAATAAAACTCATTGCCATCTAGTTGATTCTGACTCAAGTTGAGCTTATATAAGGTTTCTGAGACTATAAATCCTTGTGGTAATAGTCAACCTCAAGTTTTACCCTCAGAGTGTGTGATAAGTTTGAACTGGTGAGCTGAACTGCTGACCTTAGCATTAGGAACCCAATGTCCAACCAATACACAGTACTACCAGGGCCCCAGGCTTCAGTAACCAACTCATTGAAGAGGCAACGCTCCCATTACTTCTAGTTTGAGGAACAGGTACCAAATTCTCCTCCCTGTCCCTTTCTTAACTAACACCTTCAGCTACTTGTCCTTGGCCTCCAGCGGCTCCTATCTTCTTATTTGTTCAGATTTCTCCATTGCAACTCTCCTCCAAGGCCTCGTATCATGTTGCTGTTAGGGGCTGTTGAGTTGGCGACCGCAGCAGGAAGAAGCACTGCCCAGTCCTGCATCATCCTCATGGGCGTTCCTGTGCCTGCGCCCATTATTGCAGCCACTGCGTCGATCCCCTGGAAGGCCTTCCTTTTTTCTGCTGGCCCTCCATTTTACCAAGCACACCGTCCTTCTCCAGGGACTGGTCTCTCCTGACAACAGGTCCAAAATATGTAAGAGGACACCTAGCCATTCTTGCCTCCGAGGAGCACTCTGGCTTTACTTTGTCTAAAGCAGATTGCTTTCAGCAGTTCACGGTACTTTCAAAATTCTTCTCCAGCACCACAATCCAAATGCGTGGATTCATCTCCAGTCTTCGCATTCACTGTTCAGCTTTCATACGCATATGAGGCAATGGGAAACACCATGGCTTGGGTCAGGTGCACTTTATGCCACGCCCCAATTAATGGACCTGTGCCTTTCTCCAACAGTACAGGCTTCTCCCCGAATCCCCAGACTAGAGCAGTGAGGCCTCACTGACAGCCGTCTTTATTTCTCCCCTTCTCTTTTACTGCAGAGCCCTGTGGGCATGGCCCTGTGGACAGTCAGGAGCAGTGGGTGTCTACCCCAATGCTTTTTCTTAGAGTTAAAAAAAAATCATCAGAAGAGGTTTAATGTTATGGTTTCAATTGCATCCTCCCCTAAAATATGTGTTGTAAATCCTAATTACTGTGCCTGTGTTTATAATCCCATTTGGGAAAAGCTGCCCTTGTTATGTTAATGAGACATAGGGTAAGGTGTCTCTTCAATCCATCTTTGAAATTCATATCAAGGAGATTAAAGAAGGAAGCAAAAGAGGCAGAGATAACAGAAGAGAGATGCCAACCTATAAAAAGATCCCCTAAGGAGCAGAAGCTCTGAAAAGGACTTTACTCCAGAATCCACAGAGCTGATAGCCTGAACTCACGCTTCCAGCCTCCTAAACTGTTGGTTTAATCACACACTTGTGCTATTTGTTATAGCAACACTAGATATTTAGCACAGTGAGGGGCACACCCCTGGAGTTGACACCATGCAATTATCTTAACTTAGACCCATTATTTGGCCCTGGGGGCTTTTCTAAGATTTTCTCATTCTTATTCTAAAATTTCTCTCTAGATTAAATAAGACATCAAGAGTCCTTACTTTAATTTCTAGAGGGGCTCCACCCGAGTGAGTCCTTCTTCTGGCTCAAAGAGCAACAGTTACCAGGACCATGGGGGAGTGACAGGTCCAGGAGATGAGGCTGTGCTGGAAGAGCGGGAACTTGAACTGAACCTGGAAGTGAGCCTGGAGTTTGAGTTGCAGCTGGGAAGTGGATCCAGGTAGAAAGCTGATAAGGAATGGGATACCCAGACTGCTAGGTCCCAAGGAGAGGATATGATCGAGATATGACCTCAATTGAAAGGGGTGGTGGCCCTAACCTCCCATTAGAACATCCAGGGCAATGGCTTCATTTAAAAAAAAATCATTTTATTAGGGGCTTGCACAGCAATTATCACAATCCATACTTCCATCCATTGTGTCAAGCACATTTTTACATTTGTTGCCGTCATCATCTTGAAAACATTTTCTTTCTACTTGAGGCCTTGGCATCAGCTACTCATTTTTTCCCCTCCCTCCCCCACCCTCCCTCCTGAACCCTGGATAATTTAGATTTTTTTTCCCCATGTCTTACGCTGACAGATGTCTCCCTCCACCCACTTTTCTATTGTCCATCCCCCTGGGAAGGGCTTATATGTAGATCATTGTGATTGGTTCCCCCTTCCTTCCCCGTTCTTCCCCTTCCCTTCCTGGTATTGCTACTCTCATTATCTGTCCTGGATTCCCTGTGCTTCCAGCTCCTCTCTCTACCCATGTACATACTCTGGTCTAGCTGGATTTGTAAGGTAGAATTGGCATCATGATAGTGGGGCAAGGGGTGGGGGGTGGGGAGGAAGCATTAAAGAACTAGAGGAAATGTGTATCTTTCATTGGTGCTATACTGCACCCTGACTTCTTGCCTCTATAGAACTGGCTGTGCCTTTCCCTTTTCTCCAGGGCAGTGATAACATTGAACTAACTCCGTATCTTTAAGGCCCCACACCTTCCAAGCCACCCCTTGCTCTATCTCATTCTCACTTCAGTGGGAATACTGTAATGCACCCACTTTGCTCCTCAGTTTCCCAATTCCTAGCTCTCGTACTCTTGGTACACAACCAAATTGATGGCATTTTTTCCCTGCTCAACCTCTGAAAGCACACATTCAGAAGTAAAAAGATGTAATAAAAATCCAAACATGGTCCAGACCAGAAAGACATCCGAATTTACAGAACGAAGATAGCTGCCCCACTGGACAGTGACTAGGCAATCATTCTTGCACAGTTAAAGCAAGAACTAAAGTTACAAAATCATGATCGACTGAAAGACCATTAGGTGCCAAAGACAGGGTTGAGCAGAGACCCATGGATGGCATGCCTGTGGAATTACATAACTGGTTAAGGGCATCTCCTTGCAAGCCTATGCACTCTGTGATTTATTTCAGGATGACTTCAGCACAATAGCAGAAGGGATTTTTCTGGAAGCCGATTAAAATCGCTTTCTTAATCATGTTTGCTTCTGAGGATCCTACAGATGTTTGATCATAGAGGGAAAACTATCTGGGAGTAGAGGGTGATATCCGGTACCTGCCAGACCACACGGAAGTAGAATCCCTCCATTAGGGTGTGTGGTTAGGTTAGCGTCAAATTAGAAGAGCTGCTGTTGGAAAACCAACCCCAAAGGAAAGCCGTTAAGTCTAGTCCAAACCCATAGGGCTTCTGAGGCTGTCAATCTTTAAAGAAGTAAATAGCTTCCTCTTTCTCCCGATGAGTGGCTGGTTGGTTTGTACCACACCTTGGGGTCAGCAGTCCAACACTTCTCTGATAGCACTAACTTTGGTCCTCTGCCCATTCCCTCAGAACATTTTAGTCTGAAGGAAATACAGCTTGGTCCAGGCTCTAGTGGACACGCTAGTTGCCATGGTTCTTCAGGTAGGCCTGCCACCAACACCCCAGTAATTCTTCCATAGGACCACAGCTTACACAACAACCCCAGTCCACTGGCTTCTACTGTGCTGTAGTCAACTGCTGGCCTTGTCACCATCTCTGTCTACTCTCCACACGCTTATTGAAAAGGGGGATGTGCTCCAACCTGATAGATTCTAGTGAACTTCTTTAATGTCCGTTTCTCTCTCTGTGGCTTTGGGAATAGAACTCTTTCTTCTGGAGCCTTGCTAAGGTTGCCCTTAAATTGCTGGGCATCATTGGCATAGGCAGGATCCACAAGAGATGGGACTTCTCTCTGATCAATACCTGGCTGAAAACCTGCCCTAATAAAAAGTTCCCACGCAGACTTTCCCAACCAGCAAGTGGGCACTAGATTCACTTAGTGACCTGCTTCCACAGATTAGGCCTCACAGTGCCCAAGCACCGCTGCCTTTTTCTTCTTATAGTGAGTGATTCTTAACTAGGAAGATGATCTTCTGAAGTATATTTCAAAGTCTTAAAATTTAGAGGCAAACAAATGATGAACCCCAGCATGATAGATCAAGTATGTGGAAGGTTAAGACGTGGAGAAGCACCAGAATTATTCAATTTGCAATGATTCTTTTAAACCATTTTTGAAAATACTTTTTAAAAACTTTTAGAATCAAAACAACTATATTTGGAACATTTTCTGTATTAGTCTGTTTTAAGATGGTGAAAAGCTGATATTAAGCCTGAGAGTGGGTTGAATTTTTGGAAAATGTGTCTTTTATAACAGTTGCAATGTAAAAGATACTTTTTAATAACAATTTTGTATTCACAAAGTGAAGCAACAGAGATGTTCTAGTATTTGGTGTGGCCACAGTTTTCAAGAAAAAAAAATTGAGAGAGAGGGACATGTGCCTCTGCAGGGTGACGGTCGTGTGGCAAACAACAAGAGCGTGA